AAATGATCTCTCTATTCCACACCAGTACCAGCCTCCATCCTCCAGGCTGAGGTCACTGATAGTAACGGTGAAGGTTCTCTGGGCCGGGTCGTCTCGGATTGAAGTCCTGCCTTCTCTCTGGTGGTCCTCAGTGTTCACAACAGTGGAACAGTTTGCGTGTTTAGCTCCTCTACACCAGTATTTCTTATTGCTCTCATAGTCTGCAGAGTAGGAACAGCAGATAGTAGCCGAGGATGACAGCTGGACAGAAACATTCCCAGGACTCTGAAGACCAGGTGTAGATGGGTCTGTAACAGCACATTAGCACATGTGGTTATAGAATATTAATGATGCAGACAGTATATTAAAATACAGGAAAATATGTGAATTTAAATTTTAAAAAACCCAAATTGTCTACTCCCAGGACTAACACACTCTGTCTCACTGAGCAGTGTTTGCAATACAACAAGTACTGGCCTGTCCTGAGCCTCAGTCCAGTGGGATAAAAGGTCAATTTAGTGCTCACAGTTTAAACAGCAATTGGAGACTGACCAGTTCTGGAATGTCATTTGTTCAGTCAAGACAGGTCAGAGTCTGATCCTGAAGCCTACAGGATTACATTTTCCTCCTAAATAATCATTTTTTGGGGGGACTTTAAACACTTTTCCTTTGTGACAAATTAATAATTTAGGGGTTAGAGATTAATATAAGTGGATTACGCCTCTCCTGGACCAGAGATTCCAAGTTCAGATTCCAAATGCTGATTGAAACATATTGTAACACATAATACAGAACCATTTGTTTTAGCTGTGTGTGGTATTTCAGGTATTTAGTGTGTGGTTGCAATCTGCAATTTTTCCTCTAATCCACACTGAATGCTGTCCTGAGAGAAGAGTGTCCAACACCACTTAAATTACATCTTAAAATTATTTAAAATTAATCCATACAGTTGTATGCAAAGGTTTGGGCACCCCAGGCCAAATTACATGTTTTGTTGATTTTCTAAGTGCAAAGAAGTTAACGCAGCCTCTTCAGCGAATAAACTTAAATTTGACATATTTCTGCTAATTTTAATGCACAGTTATTTATTTGCTGAATTTAACAGATTGAAAAAACATAAAATAGTAAATGTGGCATGTGCAAACGTTTGGGCACCCTATCAGTCATTACTTAGTAACACCCCCTTTGGCAGAAATTAGAGCCTCTAAACGTTTCATGTAGCCAGCTAACAGTCTTTCTATTCTTGCTTTTTTCCCCACTCTTCCTTCAAGAACATTTCTAGTTCGGAAATATTCTTAGGTTGTCATGCATGCACTGCTTGTTTGAGATCCACCCACAGATTTTCAATAATATTCAAGTCTGGGGACTGTGAAGGCCATTCCAAAACCTTAATCTTTCATTTCTTTAAGTAGTTTATGGTTGATTTTGAGGTTTTTGATCATTGTCTTGTTGTAATATCTAACCTCTTTTCAGCTTCAGTTTCTTCAATGACTGTGGGACATTAGCTTCCAGGATTTGTTGATACTTAGTAGAATCCATTCTTCCCTCTACCCACACAATATTTCCAGTGCCACTGGCTGCCACACAACCCCAAAGCATAATAAATCCATCCCCCTGCTTAACAGTTGGCAAGGTGTTCTTT